ATACTCTTGATCTTTTCACTATTCCGCTGTTTTTTCTGTCATACTTTCTTTACTGTAACCAGTGTCCATGAAGGCACTATTCTTATTCTATGGACTCTTTCCTCTCTAATAACATTAGCCTGATAACGTACATACAATTATTAGTTTGCTAAATCTGACAAATAATAGAGTGTGAAAGCCCTTCTTTCTGTGTGCTAAATACTCTATACGGGAGTGATACAGTCATACATGGACATAGCAAACTCCCGTTTAGGAATCAATTGCATAGAGCATTTTTTGATATGTAGCTCTTTTAAGCATTAGAAGCGCACGGAATAGATTGATCAAGCTGCTCTTGTTAGGTGGCATTCTTGAATGCACTGTACTATCTGATGTGCACTCTAGCCCCTTCAACAAATGAGCAATAGAGCATTTAATGGATCTAATCGGTTATTGCACTCTGTCAGTATCAGCAGACACATTATATTTATGGACAGGTTATACTTTGTTCACTTGTTTTGCTGACAATTTTGACAACACTGTGTATCTATTTTCATCTATACAGAAATTTGATACATTTCTGTGAATTCATTAAGTAAGCCTTACTTCAGTAGTGGGGAAAGTGATGGAAACCATGTTAAAGGATAGGATTGATGAACATCTAAAAACACATGGATTTCAAGATCAGAGACAACATGGGTTTACTTCAGGGAGATCATGCCAAACTAATCTTATTGATTTTTTTGATTGGGTAACTAAAATTATAGATCAGGGTGGTGCAGTAGACATTGCTTACCTAGATTTCAGTAAGGCTTTTGACACTGTTGCACATAGAAGGCTTATCAATAAACTGCAATCTTTAAGTTTGGATTCAAATATTGTTGAATGGGTAAGGCAGTGGCTGAGTAACAGGCAACAGAGGGTTGTAGTTAATGGAATATATTCGAAGCTTGGACTTGTCACCAGTGGGGTACCTCAGGGATCTGTACTTGGACCCATTCTCTTTAATATTTTTATTAGTGATATTGCAGAAGGTCTTGATGGTAAGGTATGTCTTTTTGCTGATGATACTAAGATATGTAACAGGGTTGATGTTCCAGGAGGGATAAGCCAAATGACAAATGATTTAGGTAAACTAGAAAAATGGTCAGAATTGTGGCAACTGACATTTTAATGTGGATAAGTGCAAGATAATGCATCTTGGACGTAAAAACCCAAGGGCAGAGTACAGAATATTTGATAGAGTTCTAACCTCAACATATGAGGAAAGGGATTTAGGGGTGATTATTTCTGATGACTTAAAGGTAGGCAGACAATGTAATAGAGCAGCAGGAAATGCTAGCAGAATGCTTGGTTGTATAGGGAGAGGTATTAGCAGTAGAAAGAGGGAAGTGCTCATGCCATTATACAGAACACTGGTAAGACCTCACTTGGAGTATTGTACACAGTACTGGAGACCGTATCTTAAGAAGGATATTGATACCTTAGAGAGGGTTCAGAGAAGGGCTACTAAACTGGTTCATGGATTGCGGGATAAAACTTACCAGGAAAGGTTAAAGGATCTTAACATGTATAGCTTGGAGGAAAGACGAGACAGGGGGGATATGATAGAAACATTTAAATATATAAAGGGAATCAACACAGTAAAGGAGGAGACTATATTTAAAAGAAGAAAAACTACCACAACAAGAGGACATAGTCTTAAATTAGAGGGACAAAGGTTTAAAAATAATATCAGGAAGTATTACTTTACTGAGAGGGTAGTGGATGCATGGAATAGCCTTCCAGCTGAAGTGGTAGAGGTTAACACAGTAAAGGAGTTTAAGCATGCGTGGGATAGGCATAAGGCTATCCTAACTATAAGATAAGGCTAGGGACTAATGAAAGTATTTAGAAAATTGGGCAGACTAGATGGGCCGAATGGTTCTTATCTGCCGTCACATTCTATGTTTCTAAGTGAACAGTCTTTCTGAATCCATGGTTACAGTGACCTCTAGTGGTCAATTACTACAATGACATTTTTGGTCTAATAATCCTTACAATAGGCAAAGATTATCACCTCTGTGTGATTACAATTAGTTATTTATTAGACTATCATATTTATACTGAGGTAATTAGTTTGTTTGTTTTTAGTGGGGTGCTGGAGACAATCTTTTTCACTCCAGACTCTACCACTATCACCGTGCACTAAGATCTTTCAACTTGCACATTTATATATATATATATTTTTTTTTTTTCATGTTTTTTCTTATCCCTTTCTTTCCCCTATATATACGCCCTCAGTACCTATTGATGGTCTTTTGGTCTATCTAGTTTTTGACACCCACTAGTATCACATTAGAGCCAGAGAGGTAGTTTATTTTAGGAATGTCTTTTGTATTAGATTAATAAAGTATCTTCTAGATTTTTATCTCAGGGACAGAATCTCTCTCCTCTTTATTGTTTCCAATTATTTAGGGTTACCCCCTTATTTTCTGTCTTCTATATTTGGACAATCTCATTGCCACTCTCCTCTTTTTTCTCAGTCTCTGTACTCGTCCGTGCTTTAAACTACGTTCACAGAGACTGTTAGTCTAGAGGTGGTAAGGTGAGCTGAGCAGGGGTCTAATACTGCAGACTTCCCATAACTGTTGGGTAAGTTCTGGGTTAAATTGCGTTCCCTGGTCAGACAGGATTTATTTTGAAAACCCTACTCTGGCAAAGATCCTGACCAAGGCACTGGCAACAGTGTCTGCCTTGATGTTTGACAGAGCAACTGTGGGGATATTTATGGGATAATAATAGTAACAGTGAGAATTGCCCACTAATTCAATTCTCAGATCCCAAAGAACGTTTATCGTGTTAAGTGGAATGTATTTCATATAATAATATCACAATGTATAAAAATAGATTTTATTTATGATAACCAATAATTAACAAATAATATTATGTAACATGCATAACAATAATCAATGAATATCCAGTACAAAATTATATGCAATACAAAGGAATGGGTATTACGTTTCAATGGCTAAACAGCATTTCCTGTCAAGAATTATTTATGACTATCTTTAACACAGGCTGAAAGTGAAACTTTTCACAGCGAAGAACAGAATTCCTCAGAGTGCAGCGTAAGGTCGTAAAGTTTAGCAGACAGTTAGAATAACCCTTTCAATGCTGGCTAGATCTCCTAGGTAGTTAAGATCTATTCTTATGTAATTTTTAAATAAAATAACATTTAAACCAGTTTAAATTCATTTTCTTAAAATCATCCAATAAGAGAATTTACCACATTATATAAGCAGATTTTTAATTTGTCTAAAAGATATTTATCTTAATTTAGAGCAAATCAATACACCTGGATAAAAACAGCGGTATGCTAACACGTGATAATATCACATCAATATATAATTATTCTTAATTCCACCTGCAGAATGGAATGTTTATAACTATATATTCTTAGTTAACTAAGATTTCTTAATATGGAAATCTGACCGTGCTTTATCCAGTCATATATAATGCTATTAATACATTTTAATTAATTTAATTTAATTAAATGAAACCAGTATAATTACCAGTTGAGTAGATATTTCATCCGATTGGTAGTCTCAGGAATTTATTTGGATGTGTCTCTGCATGGAGGTTGGAGTCCCCAAACTTCCAATTCCTCTCTTTTCTCTCCTTTGCATATCTTGCATCTGCCTCCTTCGTCTTGTTTCTTCTCTATCTTCCCTTTGTCTTAACTTTTAAAGGGCCAGACTCTCTGTACGTCATCAGTTGATAACCCAATAGAAGCACTAGAGGTGTGGTTATCTTCCAGATCGCAAATTAGTTATTTGGTCTGTAGAGGGCAGTCTTGTCCCACTAAACATACCTATCCAGGAAAGAGTTAACTTTTCCTGGTGGCTATTTTGACGTCATTTTGCTTATCTCAAATGACCACTATAACTTACGTATCCTTCAAAGATCAAAGGGTTTCTTAAATTTTGTCCAGACTATGTGTCTGGTAAATCTGCTATAATTTCTGATATGGCAGATCATGAACTAAGTTTACCCTTTTCCATACAATGGTACCTTATATATATAGACAGTTAAATATTATTATTTAATCTTCTCTGTCACAATTGTCTGGGTTTAGATTTGATTATATTCCATTAGCATTAGACAGTCTGTCCAACCCCCTTCCTTATCACTTGGCTTGTATATACTATGCATTCCTCAGCTCTGGGAAAGTGGTTAGCTTGCAGATAGAAATATAGTGTCTTTCTGTTAACTTAAAATAACAAAATGGAGTCTGGTCTGTTCAGAGTGACTCAGAATATACACTTTTAGTTTCTATCATAGCACAAAATGTCTGCCGATATAAATACTCTGACATAACCCCCCTTTAGTGCATTTCATAGCCAAAATTAATTTAGCTTATGAATAAGCACTATAGAAGTTATCAGACATATTGTGCAATCACATCATTTCTAACATAGGCCCGTGCGTGGAATGAACATTTTTGTATATATTTGTACCTGTAAGAGTTTTGAACTTTACACTTAGTACAATCAACCATAATATCATTATTACATAGTACATTGTTTTCATTTGAAAAATGTCTTTGGGAGTTACATATGGTATGGTCAATAAAAAGCAAATCTCCATACGTTCCGAATCAATTAAGAGAGATATAGCGCTCCCCATCTCAAAGGCCAGATTTAAATGCATAGGTTCAATTGTCTCTCCATCCACATTGGCAAGCATCGCATGAACAATATCCTTGGATACAAAATACAGAGGTATGCGTCCCCCTGCCAATTCGATCATTCCAGTTTGCACTTCGTCGAGAAAAGCAAGTGTGTGGAACAATATTGGGTCATGCAGAAATAAAAGTTCATGCTTAAATAAGTCATGACTTTGGTGCAACTCAGTGGATTTGGCAATTAATTCCGAATGCAAATTCGTTGTAACAACTGTGTCTTCCACAATAGTTAACACGTCTTGGAGAAGTGTTCTTTGCTGTTGTATCACCTGATGAATATCGTTAATGTGTTGCTTTAGCGCATAGATTCCATATCCAGCTTTTGGACAGTAATAGAGTTGGCTGCAGACATTCCAGTTGCGACAACTGCACCGACAGTGGCACAAACTAATGCAACAATTATAGCGGTGAGGAACCTTTTGGGTCGGTTGCTCATCGGAATAGAACTGGATACAAATGGTTTCCGGGCTTGCTCCAAGATGTTTCGCACACGGTCCTGTGCTCTTTGGAGGTGCATCTGGTACCAAGTCTGTAACTCAGGAAGCTGCATCGATGAAATGTTGTATGCCTTCTCGATGGAAATCTTGGGGTCCAAGCTGACGAACACACGTCTGGTCAGGATCCTCTTCTCTGTTAAGATGAACCCTGGTGTCTCTTGAATCAGGATGCCGGAGGATGGTCCCATCTCTGCGATCGGGTCGGTCCGTAGCTCTTGGCACAGGAGCAGTACGATCCAGAAACACGCCACATCCTTCTTGGACATCTTTCGACAGTCACGGATCAGGAACTCGTTTCAGACTTATCTACTAATGATTCAAGGTTTGTTAAGCATACAAACTTATAACAGTGTGACATCACTTGGCCTAGGTCAACACATTTTTACGATTCATCACATATGTATTCTGTCTAATTCTATTTTTATAACTTCATCCCTCACTACATTTATTACTGACTCTTCAGCAATTTGCCTATAGCATTTAAACAAGCTAGTAACCTGCTTATAAAATGTAGTTATTGGATGGCAAGGAAATGGTTAATGACATGAACGTACATGAGATCATGGCACATCACAACATTTCACATCATACTATACCACGTGAATCAAGCATTCATCCAGGTTAGTCGTTCACCCTTCTGCGTCTGAATCCACACCTATAATCCTTAATTGAGATTTAGGATGACAAGCACGCAACTGGTTAATGTGAACCCACTTTTCAATAAAATCACCATCCTTAGGAATTTTTATCTTATACGCTACAGGGGAAATTTTGTCAATGATGACATATGGCCCTTTCCAAGAAGGTAAAAATTTCTTTTCCTTGACTTGATTTCGCGCAAAGTTATACAGATAGACTTGATCTGTGATTTCATATTCCTTTTTCGTGGTTTTTAGATCGTAATAGGTCTTAACCCCTGTCGCTGCTTTTTCTAGATTCTTTTGGGCAAAAGCAAACGCATGCTGTAAATGCTTGCGCAAATCTTCGATATACTGATGCGTAGTGGCAGCATTGATCAAGTTATGATCCGAAGTACGATATAGTAAATGCTGTGGTAAAACCATCTTTCTTCCTGTCATCAATTCAAAAGGTGACAATTTGGTAGCAGTGCTAGGTGTAGCTCTAATCGCCATTAAAACTAGGGGCAATTTAATGTCCCAGTCTTTACCAGACTCCTTAACATATTTCTTTAGAATATTAACGATAGACTGGTTATATCGCTCTACCCCCCCGCTAGACGCAGCGCGGTATGCAATATGTAGCTTTCGTTTAACACCTAGAATGTTCCACATCTTAGCCATTACTTCGCTGGTAAAATGACTACCTCTGTCTGACTCAATTCTTTGAGGCAGACCGAACCTGGAAAAGACATGGTTAATCAACAAAGTGGCGCACACGGTACTCGTGTTCTCTTTACAAGGCAAACATTCTATCCACTTTGTGTACATACATGTAACGGTTAACATGTATTTGTTACCTCTTGAAGATCTTGTTACAGGACCTATAAAGTCAATTTGAATATCAGACCAGGGTAATGACACCCCCCTCTTCTGAAGTGGTGCACGATGGGTTGGACCATGGGGTTGATATTGCGGACAAATCAAGCATCCCTGACAGTATGTCTTAACATCCCTTAACATGTGTGGCCAATATGCATAATCACGCAATATCTCATATGTGATCTTATCACCACGATGCCCAGATGTAGGTGCATCATGTGCGTGTTGGAGCATTAACCCTCTGTATACAGTTGGGACTACCCATTGTTGTATACCATGTTTAGAAGTTCTGATCCATGATACTAAATTGGACTTTATACCTCATCAAGATTCGTAAATCTTCATTATCTTTGCAATCCTCATCTGTGATGGGATTGGCAGTAGGGTCTTCTATATATTTATAGAATATGCCTATGACGGGATCGTTCTTTTGACTGGTAATCAGGTCCTGATTAGGAGCTTCTTGACTCCATTGCACGACGTTTAAGTCGGCATTATCTCTAGCTTGTCGTCTTGTTATGGCTTCAACATGAATTGAACCCATAAGATCATCAATGTTTAGGGTTTCACCATTGATGGCAGCTTGTTTTGCCAGTGAATCGGCTAAGTCATTACCATCCTTGTCAATACCTTCTATTTTAGAATGGCCTTTGGTTTTCTTCCAATATATGGATAAACCATTTTCCTTAACCAGTTCATCAATTTTACAAAACAATTTCCCATGTTTAACAGGTTTGTTATTGCTTTTCAGCATTTGGTTACGTTTCCAGCTAGGCAGATATTCGACGAAACTGTTGCGAACATAGTTGGAATCAGTTATAATAACAAATTCTTTGATACCATATTCTATTGCCATTTGAATGGTCTTATATACTGCACAGAGTTCGGCTATCTGACTGCTTTTGGGACCAATATTGTATCCTATAGATACATTGGGATAATCACCTGTCCAGGCGATTCCGATACCTGCAACTAACTTCCGTTCAGCACCAGCGACGTGGTGATATGAACAACCATCAATGTATACCCACGGTAGTGGTCGACAGTATTCCTCGTCATAAACTTTATAAGGAGATAGCAATTGCTCTTCTAGGAAGTCATCTCCGGTGTCATTATCATCCAGAGATGGAGCAGTACAGTCATGTAATTCTGCTAAACCTTGGGCAACTGGGCTTCTCTTATTATGTTTATAACGGACTTCTAACGGCCATCCCTGTAAGGATAGAGTCCATGCAGTAATTCGACTGTTAGAGAGATTACCGTCTCTAATTCTTTCACTCTGCAGATACTGTAGAGGTTGGTGAGCTGTTTCTACAATTATTTTCTCACCTTGGATATAGCTACGAAAATTTTGTAGTGCCCAGACAGTCGACAATAACGCCTTCTCACACGTGTTGAATTTAACTTCAACAGGTGACAAAGTCTTGCTAGCATATGCAATAACTTTGTTTAAACTGTCCTGCTTCTGATACAGAACAGCACTTATGCTTAAATCTGTATATCCTGTCTCCAGATAGAAGGGTTTACCCCCCTCTGGGTATGCTAAACAGGGTGCCTGAGTGAGCTTCCTCCTCAGTTCACTTACCGCTTGGTCCTGAGGCTCCCCCCAGTTCCAGGTAGTTTCCTTTTTAAGCAGGTGTAAGAGTGGTTTAGTTATTTCTGCATAGTTATCTATAAACTTACGGGAGTAGTTAGTCATACCAAGGAACGATCTTAATTCCTGATGTTTGAAGGTGTTTTAGCCTTTAGTACGGCTTCAACCTTCTTCCTCTGGGGATTTAATCCTTCAGAAGTTACCTCATGTCCGAGGAAATTGACATGGGTGCGACACCATTGCGCCTTTTGTAAAGACAGTTTAATCCCTGCCTCCCTTAACTGAGTGAGAACATGTCTAATCTCTAAGATATGCTTATCAAAGGAAGTGCTTTTCAGCAAGACATCGTCGACATATGATAACGTTCCTCTCTCGAGTGCATCAGGCATAGCTTTATGCATGAACACAGCGAATTCATGACCAGAGTTTATATAACCGAAAGGCATACGGGTCCAGGTATACTGCTGCTTTCCAAATGTGAAGGCCAATTTGTATTGGTCTTCATTATGGACTGGTACAGTCCAATATCCCTGCGCACAGTCAATGGCAGTGAATATTTTGGATCCCTGCATTTGTACCAAACATTGGTCTATGTATGGCGTTGGCCAACCAGACATATAGACGCGTTTATTTAGCTGACGTAAGTCAGCACATAAACGCCATTGTCCATTAGGTTTCAGAATCCCCAAGATTGGATTATTATACGAACTGTGCACTGGACGTATAATGCCCCTTTCCTTTAAATTCTGAATGATGTCTTGTAGACCATCATATGACGCTAATGGGAGTCTATATTGTTTGATAAATACAGGTGGTAAATTTGGATCAGTTTGTATTCTGGCTACGTGGAGGTTAGTTAACCCACAGTCGTAGGAATCTTTGGCAAAAATATCTTGGAATTCCAAAAGGATTTCCTTTAGCTGTTGCCGCTCAGCATCGTTGGAGCAACCGTCAGCTAAAGATATTTGCTCTTCTAGCCTTTCCTGAAATCCTGGAAAGATTTCAGGCTGGCCTATCTCATAAGCTTCTTCAAGCCTAGAAGTTAGGTCAGTTCGGTGTTGACTTACCTTTTCTCTTTGGTCGTGATACTCTTGTGATTCCTGCTCATTGAGCGGATGATCGAAGGTGATAGATGCTTCTTCGATTTTACACGAGCCTTCTTCAACGTTGAAGGGATACACAGATAGGATAGTAAATAATCCTTCTGGGGAGGAATGGAATATTTGATGGACAATTTCGTCCTCAGTTAAGTATTCTTCAGGGATGAGGCCTATAATTTGGTTTTGGAAACCAAATGTATAGTACTCAGCATCCAATGCTAGACCTAATAATGTTCCTTTTGGTAAAGTAATACTATTGGGTGTAACATTGTTGACCATGATATAGGTGGGATTCTTACCAATACTTACCATTGGTGTATGTGTTACCACCATCCCTAATTGTTGTATTTTGTTGGATAAACAGATTAGGGCATCAGAGTTTTCCAATCTCTGACCCTTCTTGACCTGTAGGGGTAAAAGAAAATTACTTGTCCCCTGTGGAATGGTTATGTCATCAGGAACTTGGATACTTACCGCATATGGGAGTATTTGTCCTGATTTCAGGGCGTTTTCCTCGTGTAGGTATCCACAAGGATTACCTTTTAACCTTGTCCACTGTGGTGTATTACCAAACTCTATAAATTATTATGTCCGCATACACATATAAACTCTGGTCCGTCTACTTTAACAAATATTTATTCAGAGACAAAACAACAACAACATACAAATAATGACACACAATCTAACTAACTATACCAACAACAACAGCAACAACAACATAACTAACAATAACAACTACATCTTATAAAATCACCAGATCCCACTCACAGTTCACCATGATAGAAATTAGGCCATGTCTGCTTAAAGGACTGCTCAGTAGCACAGCCAAGAAGGAACAGAGAGGAATGGAGATAGGGGGAAGTGGTTATCTCTTTCCTGACTAGTAAAAGTATTGAATTACCAATTAACATTTCAAAAGGGTAAAGCTTATCCCACTGTAAGAGCTTGGTCACATGATCCCTGGTCACCATATTAGTTTGATGACAGAATGTCACCACATTCCCTCACTTTTTTTTCTCTTATGTTGAGCACATTTAAAAGTGAGAGAATATAGTCAAACAGGGGTTGCATCA